TGAAATGGCTGCGGTTTACCAAGTGAATAAAATAGGTTTCGGCGGGGAAAAACTTTTACGGCACGTGGAAGAGCATAAAAAATTTACCTATAAATATAACATAATATTATAATATTATACCTGCACGATACGGCCGGGGGTCGTCCGTGCTACATTGCTGCGAGTGCTCTCCCATAATATCCCGTGTAACCGATGCAGGTTATAGATATGGTGTGCACACTCCACAATTTTTTGATTACCATATACAGTTACGGCCTAACCGGGGAGGGTGTGTTGCGTATACCCTCGGGATGTAAACGCGAAATGATGATGGAGAAGGGGCATCGTAAATTATTGTCCAACGACTCCTCTCCGGTTGCACCGTGTATACAGCTCGAGTGTTGCTCAATACATAATGTACACACAAGTGCGTTCGTGGCCAGGGCCAAGCACGGCTAACTTCCTTGCAGCCGTTCCACAACGATAATATGCCGCGTGTGTACGTATAGAGCGATGGTTTTACGGCGGTGTAAACTTTTTCGGAGGCCTACAGTGAAAAGTACCGTCTGTAAACAGTCGACCGACGATGGTCTTAAACCTCACCGGGTACTCTCTTACCTCGCTGGCGTCCCACGAAAAGTGTACAATATAATATTTACCGCCGCGGCGCGTTACTTTCGTTTTGTTTGTCTTTATCGCCGGCGCTCGTTCGATTAGCATAATTACTTAAATTAACTTTTCGGAGTCTCCCGTTGTTAACGGTAAACATCAAGAGATTGGTAAGTTACTAAATTTACTGTAACCAATCGCGCGAGATATAACTTACGGGCGGCATTGCGAGAGCATTAAAACCATGTTTGTTTGTATAAATTAATATTTGCACCTGAAAGTACTTACACAAATAGTGTGATCGACAATTATTTACTTCAGTACTAGTCGAATACTTTTCAAGGGCCCTCGGCAAAGAAAAATAGAACTGACGAATAACATTACATATTTTATGTTATTATTAAATATTAATTATTGTGTACTACATTATAACCGTTAATTATAAAGTTGTTCGAAATGTTCGTCATTCGTGTTATTTTCTTTTTGGTACCCAAGTATTTTACTGAATGGCACATCTGTCACTTGCCGCAAACACTCGTTCTATAGATTTTATTTTTTGTTATTCATTAAATACCGTTTTTTCAATCATTAAGTTTAGTTCGCAGATTTATTTATAACAAATATGAAATTACTTAATTTATTAAAAATATGTTAAATAATGTGTAAAAAGTATTTGAAATTGTGTTCAATGCTAACAAATGTACTTATATACTTATACAAAGTCTATATACTCCTAGTTACAGTTGCAAGTTAAATAGTTTTATTTTGGAAAATCTTAAGAGTTTTTCAATCTTACGATAGATTTATTTTTATTTTACGATAGCTGATAACGTTAAAACATTCTAGCAACTTTCGAAGACGAATGATAGAAAATGTAATAGCGTTGTAAAAAAAAAAAACCAACAAATATTATAGATTGATTTTTTTTTTTTTCAAAAGTGGTAGAAGTAACATGGGCAAACATGAACAAATCATGTAACTGGTTAAAAGTTGCTAGTTAAGTACAATTATCATTTAAACTAGTTGAAGACATGTAACTCTAATTTATCCGTATCAGCAATGAGCATGTTTTATAGTTTTATATGGCTTCCACGTAGAATTATCAGAGCCGAGAAACGGTTTATACTTTCAATCTGCTAGTATATATATATATATTTCGTTTTGTCTCTTGTCGTTTAGTGTTTATTGGCCGTTTGATTTTTTTTTTTTGTTCCGTTTCTCTTGGTCTTGTTTCTAGCGTTCGGTAAAAACGTTTATGAAATGCGCCGGCGACTGAATTGTTTTCCACTTAGCGGGACTACCGAGCGGCGGTCACGTGCCGGCCGCCCTTGTACCGCGAGAGGTGAATCCGTCGGTCAATTCGCACATTGTTCAGTCGCGAGAAGAGAGGAGACTCTGGGGTATTCGGCCGGAGGGGGGGGTTTTTTTTTGTATTTATTTTCCCTCTCGTCGTTTTCTAAGAAGCGCCCGGGACGCGACGGAAATTAAAAGAAAAAAAGTAAAACGTCTTCAAAAGCCTCTTCTTCTGCCGTCGGACCGTTGTTGCAGCGACATCTAAAGTTCCACCGAGCTTTTGTTCGTCAGCAAAAACAAAAGACGACGACGAGTCTAGGGTAGAGAACGTGATCTGAATAGCAACAATATAAATACAAACACACACACACACACACACACAATAACTGCAGAGATATTGTTGGAGGGCGACGGCGATTCGCGCGACGAATACCAAAAACCCCCCAACGCGGCTTCGGTCCAAAGTTTTCGTTTTCGCCGCCGACACCGGGTCACGGTATAATAATATCCGCCGTTGTCGGTAATAAATAACACACATACACTCGGGTTATAATAATATTTGATTTGCCTACCCTGTAAAAATTGTCAGAAAAAAAAAAACAGAATACTATATACCGTTGAAGGAAACGTGAACATTTCTGCCTGTTCCACGGCGTCGCCGCGGGACGTTATGCCTACATTTTACAGTTATTACCATCATTTTTTATACTGTTTTAGACAAACTACGTTGGGGGTAATGATTCGTGCTTGTGCCCTCCCTCCTATCGACACTATCGGCGCTCTTTTGCTGCTATAATAATATGTCTGCTGTGTAGGTATTATCGGACCGTGATTTATTCGTGATCGGACAAAACGGCCGTCACCATGCGGATCGACAGCGGCAGCAGCAGCAGCAGCAGCAGCAGCTTCAACCTATATATAATAATAATGTATGGATTCAATTTCGAATCGTAATCGAGCACGAACAGATTCGCGGGTAACGGCGACGGGAGCGATGGGCAGATTAATGCGGCAAAGTACCCTCTCGCCGTCATGTCGATTTGTTTTCGGCTAAAAAAAATATATATATATATATATATATATATAAATAAATAAAGTTGCGTACCGATACGATCACCCTCTCCACCGCTCGGAGCTCGTCCCTAATGGTGCGCATGCCGACGTTCAATATTATTATTATTATTATTGTGTACAATGTACTAGCATCAAATTGATCGTGTTTATCGCTCATTTGTACGCCAGCTCATTATAATTTTATTTTTTAGAAAAATCGAATTCCCCCTCTGTAGTAGTAGCTATACTAGAAAATTTAGTTAATTACAGAATGGATTTAGTTTTGGGTTTTTTGTTTTCCACTAGGCTTCTAGGGACCCTCACCCATCCCCTCGGCACACGTCAAATTCGCACGTGAGACAAACGAGGTGAATTAATATACAAGATTGTGTGCGTCAGCCGCCGCCCAAGAGCGCTGAGCCTACCCGGCAAAACTGATTCGGATAGAGGATTAACATATACTATACGAGATTGAGGAGATGCGGAAGAGAGTGACGAGAGGGCAAAGCCCGGGGACCGAGTGTTTGTTTACTCTTGGTGCGAGCATAAGGTCTTATAAGTTATTCTACAAGCGTAGAACATGGAGTTCGCGGCTCGTTAAAACTCGACAAAAAGCCATTATGTATTGTATACAATATACATATACACACGGATATCTATGTATATTATGTTTTGGGAGGCAGAGAGAACGGCACAACTGTCGCGTTTTGTAAATGTTGATAATATGTTTTTTTTTTTTTTTTTAACTTCCCTTTGTGACTTCCCCGTTGTCTGTCAGCGCAAAGGCATTTGTCAGTCTCGTTTTAATTGAGTTCGGATATCGTAGGCCGTCGAGGGGAACTTCGGGGAGACGTTTAACGCTCTTATACAGAAACAAAACGGATGGCAAAACAATATTAATTTTCTTGAAACTGAAGCTTGTGCCGGCGTCACGCTGTATTCAAACGGAACGTGGCGCTGTTGTTGATTCTATCTAGCGTTATTATTGTTTTTCTCAATAAAAAAAAAAAAAAAAATACAAAGAATAATAATAATAATGACGATGAAGCGCGCGTAAAAAAGTCTAAACATTTAATAACATTAATAATTGTGGCAGCGGTTACAGAGAGAAAGTTTCTGTTTTTGTCTTACTTTATTATTGTAAGTCAATGACAAATATTATACAAACAACAATCGGTTCGTGACGTCATGTCGGCTATAGTGCAACTTTTATTTTCGCTAATCTCTCTGGAATTGACGATTTTGATGCAAACATTTATACGGAAAGGGAAAAAATTATAACAAAATGGAAAGCTGACTTTGATATGTAAATGCATGACTGTCGCCGTTTTTCGAGTCCTCGTCTTGTTTTTCAATTTGAAAATAAAACCCTATTAACAGCAATTTTGAAATACTCGAGTCGCTTAAGACAGGTTAAACAAAATGTAACATCCTAATGCAGTTATCTCAACAACGCGAATGCATTGTCGGGTAGGGACTTGGGTATAGAGCCGTATAAAGTGAGCGAGCAGACAAATTTCATAGCGCGTGTGAATGTTGCAATCAAGCGAACAATGCATAATAAACAAAACGGCGTTACAGCTAGTTTCGATAAATTTATAATTTTGAATCGAACGGCGCCAGTGTGAATACGGTTTCGGTATTTGTGAGCGGATTATACCGAACCCACGTCGTGTCGTTAGGTCCCAAACGGTTGGAAACTACACGATGTACGCTTTGTGTAATTCCTAAACGACCGATTTAAATTGCTGCACCGATTTCGGTCTCCGAGTATTAAGTAGGTTTTAGCATTTAATTTAAAATCACAGTTCAGCGTGCGTTTAACGGGAGCTCGTGCCCATAGCGACGTCCGGGTCACTAGCTCTGTTATTAATCCTAAGCGTTATCACTGTATTGATAATGATTAGCATTCCGATGATCGTAGAGGGGAAAATCAAAACTCGACCACCAATAGCTTCCGCAAATAAACGGTGTTACCAGGCCGTGTCTAATGTTTCCGTTGTGTTGACCACGAGTTGATTGTTCCCGTGACGTTGTTTCTAACGTTTGCGTTTTGTTCGTTTCAGACTTGCTACGAGATGGAACGTTACCTGAAGGAAGAGCCAATGGTTTCATCTTCTCCGACGCGATCGGAGTCTCCTTGGCTGACGACGTGGTCGACAAGGGTCGAGGTCGAGGTGGGATTGGATTGTGCGAGCAGCGTGACTTCTAACAGCAGTTCACCGTCAACGTGTTGGTCAGGGTTCGCCACACCCCCGCCAAGTCCTCCGGACGAGACGGACACACCCCTACCGCCGCCGCCCCCCGGCATTACCTTTGCTGATGCACTCGCCACCGTCGACGTCGTCCTCTTCGCCCGCATCGTCGGTCCTGTCAGTCTCCACCACCGCCAACCCGGTCAGCCCCGCACAGCCGATCACCTCCTCCGCCGCCGTCGGCGGCACTACCTCTACGGGCACCACCACTGCCGGGCTCCTCAAGGTGACCGTCGCCCCGGCCGCCTTGAGCTCCACGCGAACACTAGCCACAGCACCGGCGCCAGATCCCGCCGTGCCGGTGGTGTCCATGGCGGCGTATCACCCTCGACTGCACTTGTCGCCGGACGCGGCCAAGAAGATCCACAAGTGCAAGTACCCCGGCTGCGAGAAGGTCTACACGAAGAGCTCGCACTTAAAAGCTCACCTGAGAACGCATACCGGTAAGTAGTAGTAGAAATTAGAAACTTTTCGAAGGGGTTAAGGCGAGGTCTAGCGTGTATTTTACTGGCCTACTGTTGTGGAAAACGGTCGAGAATAGAGGCCGTTGACTTTTTTTTTTTTTTTTGAACGAACCATTTGAATCCGCAGCCGAGAGTTTACATTTGTTACACAAAGCTTTTAGGGTCTGCACGAACAAGTTGTTTATTTGTATCTTACCGGGCCGCATGTATAATTTAGTTTAGCCGTCCCGGTAAGGAGAGAGAGGAGTGGTATTGTGCGGCCCGACGAACCCTTAGTGTTGCAGGTAAAATTCGACCGCCGGTGGGTATATATATATATATACATATACAGTCTCTATTCTTTTTTTCCCTATTGCAGCAGGATCGCGCCGGCGGATGCTTTCTTCATAATTTAAACCTCTTCGGCCCCTCTACCCACACACTTGTACCCGTCGACGGCGAGTGCGGTTAAAATCCCTGGCGATTTTCAATCCTCTTCTTTACACAGACTTTTGCTTGTATATTGGAATTGCGCCCGGGACTAGCAAACGTTTTCCCCTTTAAACGCAATGGGATTTGGTAAAAAAAAAAAACAAATCAAGTATGGTTTTTTTGCTGAAACACAACACACACTGACACTAACACTTGAGAGATGAATGCCATATAAAAAACGAGTTCGTTTAAATCGAACGCTTTTATACGATTGTTACCATTTATAGTCTTCTGGTCAATTCCGAACTTCTCCGTTTTAAATAGAAATTCGCGTTTATCCTTTTCGAATTTGTGTATTTTTATAGCACCTCCCACAAGCGTGAACTGGCTGGGATGCGATCGCATTCTTTGCTCTTAATGCTCTTTGTTTTATTTGTTCAAAAGGTAAAACTAGGAATTAGTAATCAGAAATCTAGAGTCTTACGTTTAATTATGTGTTTTTACTTTGAAAATTATATATTTGATGACAAACATTTAGATGAATTCTGACTTCAAAAAATTATAGTATTTTTATTAGTTACTATCTCATGATTTTTAATATTGTCGAAAAATGTTTGTATCGTACTTTTGACACATAATCAAATATTTATAACGCAAAATATGTTTCAACGATATTTTCTAAATACTAAAAAAATTATTTGTGAATATTTCGGCAGTATAAACAAAATATGACTATTTTTTTTATGAAATTTGTTCGAGGATGTATTAAAATACATGGAGCATTGTTGCGTGGGTTAGACCATCGACTATTTTTGGTTTTTTACTCAATAAAAATATTGTTGAGCTTAAAACGATTTTTATTTTTTTAGAAGTACATATATATTATACAACACAGTTGGTTGTTAGGTTGTTAATCGATTTCTGCGCGTTAAATAACGAGTCTGTTAACCGTTGCATAGCCCGGCGGTGCAAATGACAATGTTTATTAATTGTTTTTTCGCGCACGCTGGCGTAATTTGCCAGCAGGTTACGGTGAAAAAAAAGTCTAGCGCGCTGACAATAAAATATCGTAGAGTGTCCTACCGCGCCTAAGACGTTATTGCCCAAGGTGAAATATCATAGCATCCGGAGGTGTATTTTAAGTGGACTATACTGTTTACGCCAGACGAGAATAAAAACGACGAGTTGTCTAAACCGCTTAACCGTATCGCTCCGTTGAAGTGGACATTAGATTAAGAGCGTCCTCTTCTTTACCCTTCTTACTACTACCACCACCACCACCACCACCACTATTACCACCATCGCCGCACGTCATTAAGCTAAAACCCCTTTTTATATATATGTGTGTGTGTGTGTGTACACTAAAAGTTTTTCTCGAGATTTTGTGGGACACGCGTCGCGTACCAGACAAGACAAATGTAATTTTTAGAGATTTAAAACACCCAACTCGTCTTTTCCGCCCAATTAAACGTCCCCGATAAACAGCCAGTCGTGTTTATTGTCAGACCGACCTACTGACGCGACCGTTGTCTCGATGTACGGCGTGGCTTACCCGGTATATTATTTCCCGTCGGATTTTAATTACATTACATATTGTACTGAATCCAGTTCATAAATAAAACAAAACTTGCCATTGAACCATATAATTATATGGTCGCCAAACGACTTGTACCGCGGTAAAACTAGTGTAAATATAATATATTAAATGTTATTGCTCAAACAGTAGTTTTTAAACGCTTGAAAGCATTTAAAAAAAAATTGTTTCATTATCCAGTGTTCTCAAATTGCAAAAAATGAAATAAATATTTTGCATTGTATAGCTTAAGATTTTTAAAAAACTAATACCAGAACTGCAGTCGTTCTATTCTATACATATGACTCGTATAACGTATTTTCTTATCAATCAAAATCAATTCAAATAATATAATATGACAATACCGTCTATGTTTTTAAAATATTATACATTTCTTTTCCATTCAAATTCAGTATTCTGCGGTAGTCGCATCCCCTTCTCGCTTCTCACGCGTAACGTCAGTCAAAAGGGTGTATTATTATAATCCGCACTATTCGATCTGGCACATATTATAATATATATGTTATAATACTGTACAGAAGGGACGACGGTTGACCGGTTCCTTTCGAGAAATAGATTAAGTTGAATGTGATTTTTATCCCTCACTCCGCATGCGGATATATGCGTACAACAACACAAATGTGTGCCGCCGTATGTGTATAGAGAGGTTAGACGGGTCGCAAGATACTTCTTTAGTAACGCCACCGCTGCGGCTAAAGGACTGTATAATATTACATTCTATTGATCCGGCAGTGGACGGTTTGACTGCCGCTATCATTGTCGCTAAGTCTGCGGACTTCCGGCGCGTTCTACTATTCGTGCACCCTCCGCCGTCCCCCCCCCCCATCGAACGCCCGGCAAAATACCATCTGGTTCCGTTTGAAAATAGAGCTCGGACCGGCCTTGCATGACCCCCTCTCCCGAAGTACGTGAGAACGCGTTCCGTTTTGTATTTTATTATTACTTTAACCCTTTCGTTTTCCGGGCCAGAAGTGCTCGCTACGCGTGAGGCGAAGTATTATATATATATATATATATTTTAATAAAACGCTCTCCGCGAAACTTTGACGCCCGCCGCCGCCGCAAATATATAATGAAATTTTAATTAAACGGCCGACCCATTTACAACAAGAGTATAAAATATCACGTGCAACCGCCGCGCCGCTTTGCTGGTAATCGTAAAACGTTATCGACGGTGGCGGATCGTGTCTAGATGCAACCCTGACAGAAGAGCGGCATCTTCCCGGAACAATGCACTCGGTTGAGTGACTCGCACAGTTAAACCGCTTTTTAAACTTCATATTTATGCAAAACTTCTAATCGTTCTATCGATGACTGCTCGAATCCAAACATTGTTTTAAATAAATAAAACACTCAAAAATATAGAGACTTAAATTACAGCTGGCCAGTGCAACTCTTGTGAAAATTATTTTTTCCTCGTTTACGGCAAGAGGCTAAACAAAAAAAAGCGTCTGGATGAAAATTATACTTTCCGTTGCACTCTCCCTTACAGGATTACGCCTATGCGGGGTGCGATAGTCATTTGGCCAACGTGCTATTTATTTGGCCTGACAAAAAGAGTTAAGCCGGCTGCCTATTTAATGTCTTTGTCGAGGTCGTTCAGACGCGGTCGCCTCGTAGGATCGGGCCGCTGTCGCAATTAAACGTGTTCACTCTGCTCCTTTTGTGTGTTAAACATAATACATTATTGTCATGCTGATGGGCGGCGGGTGGCGACGGCGGTGGTTTCGACCGATCAGTACTGTTTGTGTTTGTTGTCGCTTTTGTCGTCGATAATTAGAAGGAAATTTAAGGCGGGACGAGGGGAAGGCAACGGGGGGAGGGCTGTAGCGGCGAAATGGGCCAAAATGCGGTTTTCGGGGTTAGCGCGACGATGAAAAGAAGAGAGGTCGACGGAGCTGGTAAAACAATAGGAGCGATTCGCCATTAATATGACGGCGATTAGACGAGGCGGCCGCTGTGTGTTAAATAGACGACCGCGGCGGTATTGTTGTGCTATTATGAGCGTGCCTATACGATGACGACGATTCGCCAAGTTCTTCCTCTAACGACCGCCGTTACAGCTACTTCCACCGCCGCCGCCAAAAACCATTACGATTATCTCGCACATGCCCTTTGCTGTAGGTCGTTACGTCTCCGACGCTTTGTGCGATTTCAACGGTACACACATATTATTATATATTTGTATAAGTTGTTATTTTCACAGGTTCTGGTATGTAAGCAAAAAGAACAGGAGGAGGATGGTTTCCTTCACGTCTAGACGTGTTCTCGCCACAGGAACGAAAATTGCACTAAATCTATTGTCTATGTATTGAATATTTACAGTACGTCGTTAATAATTTCATTAGAAAAAGACACCCCGAAGCGGCAGGCTAGACGCGCGCCGTATAAAAAAAAAAAATATTCGTCGTTAACCGTGTAAGGTTTTCCAAGAAACGAAAAGACATAAAAAAACTTTATCTAAAACACGGACGTGCCGATTTTGTATGTTCCGGAAATGAACATTTTTTTAAAAATGTTATTAATTCACCTTTTTAAGTCGCTGAAGTTTTGTCCGTTTCGCCTCGGGCTTTCCACTGGTCGACAGTGAAGTCGTCTAATTGTATTTGCATAACTATTTGTCGCGCGACGAATGCGAATTACTGGCGGTATATTTTCGGAATATAAATTATTCGAGCGTTCACGATTGGCCGGTGGACCGAAACTTAAGCACTTGTCCCGTCGTCGTCCAAGCCAAGTCAAAAACACGTTGAACGTCTTCCTCGTGCCTATCATAACCGTTACGTTTATTTTCACAGCCGTCGTTGTTTTATGCTTTAATTTCTGAAGACGTGACCGCAGCCGCTTGTATAACAAATCCTCCGCCTATTCGTTTTAAGGTTACGACCTTTTTCGTCACGACCAACTCGTTATGATAAAACTACTATTGTTTTCCCCAGGCCGTTTTTGGTTTTCAACGACCGTCCACGCGCAA